GTGCGCTGGGTCACGCTGACCCGCCTCACCACTTTCCTGGGGGGGGGTAAGAAAGGCACAATTGAGTCCCCCGGGAGCCATGCTCCTCCAGGAATTTGGACCCCTCCCCGACCCTCCTCCTCTCTCCCTCTCCCTCCTCCTCCTCCCCTCCTCCTCCTCTCCCTCCTTCTACAACTGGCGATGTGACCCAGTTGGGCCATGAAACGTCTGCAAGAAAATCACAGAGCTCAGAGAACACTAGGGACCCCAACAGTCCTCCTCATCCCTTCCTTCCTTCCTTCCCTCCCTCCCTCCTCCTTCCTTCCTTCCCTCCCTCCTTCCTTCCTCCCCTCCCTCCTCCTTCCTTCCTTCCTCCCCTCCCTCCTCCTTCCTTCCCTCCCTCCCTCCTTCCTTCCTCCCCTCCCTCCCTCCTCCTTCCTTCCTCCCCTCCCTCCCTCCTCCTTCCTTCCTTCTCCTCTCTGCAAACCCTACTGCCTGCCATCACTGATGATGCTATCTAGCTGGGTCATGAAACGTCTGCAAGAAAACCACCAAGCTCAGAGAGCACCAAGGACCCAATTGTCATTTACTTCCTCCTCCTCCTCCTCCTCCCTGTAAACTCAACTCCCTTCTAGCACTGATGACATTCCCTAGTTGGGTCATGAAACGTCTGCAAGAAAACCCCCAAGCTCAGAGAGCATCAAGGACCCCTCCTCCTCCTCCTCCTCCCCACCCTTCTCTCCCTGCCTGCTCGCTCTGGCCCAACCCAGTCTGGCCACCCCTCTCCCCCCCGCCCCCCCCCGGCCCCTGGAGCCCACCCTCGGCTGCCGGCGCTGGATGTCCGGCGCTGCAGCAGTGACTTCTGCTTGTCCTGGGACTTCCTGATGGCCTCATGTTTGTGCTTCAGCTCCAGGAGTTTGGCCCGCACGTCTTCATTCGCACACACATCTGTCAGGGGGAGAGACAGAGAGAAAGAGAGGCAGCCTCAGTGCCACCACCAAAACTGCCCAAAGCGGCTGCCTTCACGCAACCTAACAAGCCCAGGTCGACGGGAATCGGGCTAAACATGTGTGAATGCAGTGACTAGAGGTTAACGGGCCTGGCTAGGACATGTTGGGTGAACTCAGTCCGGTTATGAATAACCCTTGTTACTCTCTTGTCTTCCCAACTGTAGAAAGATCTGTGTGTGTGTGTGTGTGTGTGTGTGTGTGTGTGTGTGTGTGTATGTACAGCATATGTATATCTATATATATATGGATCTTTGGTTATTCGGGTTTTCTCCCGCATAAGATTGGAAGTATCTAGGCAACGTTTCGATGGAGTCTCATTCATCATCTTCAGGCTTCTGTCTTCGGCTCTGTGCTTCTCAGAGTGATGTGAGCTTGCAGCTTACTCTGAGAAGCACACAGCCGAAGACACAAGCCTGAAGATGATGAATGAGACTCCATCGAAACGTTGCCTAGATACTTCCAATCTTACGCGGGAGAAAACCCGAATAACCAAAGATCCACATACAAATACCCGCGAGAACCTCAGAAAACATCTATATGTATGTGTATATATGTGTTTATATCTGTATGTGCGTGTGTGTGTATACATATACGTACATGCAAACATACATACATACATGGAAAGCAAACTTCTCCATCTACACTGTCCAGGAAATCTACTCTATATAAAGGGCGCAACCTAACCCCCCCTCTTCCTTCCAGCACTGATGATGGTACCTAGTTGGGTCAGGAAACGTCTGCAAGGAGACCCCTGAGCTCAGAGACCCCCGGGACTCCCCAGTTCAACCCTGAGCTGCAAGTATCTTCCTCCATTGCTGTCTTAGCAGAAGGAAGGGGGTGGGTGTGCACACCTTCTCTACAGGGAAGCCCTGCAGGGTTAAGGGCCCAGTTCTGGCCCACTGAGGGGGCACCTGAGCCTGGCCCGAAGCTCCAGGCAGGAGGCCCAAGCCGCCCCGTCCTCCTCTGCCCCTCCCTCCGGCTCCTCTCGCTCACCTAGCGGGCTTTCCTCCAGCACCGACTTCCCGTTGAGGTCTGCTCCATGGGCCACCAGCAGCTCCACCAAGGGCACCTGTCCGCCAGAGGGAAAAGGGGGTTCTCAGGGGAGGGAGACCCCAGGCCGGGCATTAAGTGGGGCGGGGGAAGCCAGCCTCTGGGGATTCGGAGCCCTGGAATCGGGGCTCACCGTTGCCTGGGTGAGGCAGGGGCCCCTCAGCTGGCTTTGCACCCGCTGGGCAGGGTCCCCCACCTGAGTTAGCGGCACTCACCTGGCCCCAGCAAGCGGCGGCGTGGAGCGGCTGCCATCCATCCTCGTCCCTGGCGCTCAGGCTGGCCCGGTGTTCTATCAGGAGCTCCGCGGCTTCCAAGTAGCCGTTGGCCGAAGCGATGTGCAGCTGGGGGGCAGGAAAAGGGGGAAGGTGGTCTCCTTGGGGGAAGAGAGGGCCGCGCAGAGGCGGGTGGGCGGGCGGGCTGAGTGGCTGGGCCTCACCTGGGCCTCACCTGGGTGGGGCGGGGGGGGCGGGGGCTTCCTAAGGCTAAGCAGAGGTGGACCGAGTCCCATGGGTCTGGGCAAGGAAGAGCCCCCACCGGCGCCTGGGCCGGCTTCGACCCGGTTCCTGCTGCCACCTCAGAAGGAAAGAAGGAAGCTCAGGTGTTCTGCAGAGAAAGGAGGGAGGGAGGGAGGGAGGAAAGAAGGAGGGAGGGGATGGATGGATGGATGAAGGAAGGGAGGGAGGGAGAATAGGAGGAAGAAAAGGGATGGATGGATGGGAGGGAAATGGGAGGAAAAGAAGAGGGAAATGAGATAGGAGAGAAGGGAGGGAAGGAAGGATGGCTGGATGAAGGGAGGGAGAGAGAAGAATTGAAGAAAAGGGATGGACTGATGGGAGGGAGGGAGGGAGATGGGAGAGAAGGGAGAGAGAGAGATGAAGGAAGGGACGGATGGTTGGATGAAGGGAGGAAGGAAGGAGAATAGGAGGAAGAAAAGGGATGGATTGATGGGAGAAAGGGAGGGAGGGAAATGGGAGGAAGGGAAGAAAGGGAGGGAGGGAGATGAGATGGGAGAGAAAGGAGGGAGGGAGGGATGAATGGATGGATGGATGGATGGATGAAGGGAGGGGAGGAGGGAGGAGAATAGGAGGAAGAAAAGGGATGGATGGATTGATGGGAGGGAGGGAGGGAGGAAGGAGAAGAAAGGGAGGGAGGGAAATGGGAGGAAGGGAAGAAAGGAAGGAGAGGGGAAAGAAGGACAGAGGAAAGAAAGAAGGAGAAGAAGAAAGGGAGGGAGGGAGGAAGGAAAGAGAGGAAGGAAGGAAGGAAGGAAGGAAGGAAGGAAGGAAAAAAAGAGAGGAACGGAGGAAGAAAGGGAGGGAGGGAAATGGGACGAAGGGAGGAAGGGAGGAAGGAAGGAAGGAAGGAAGGAAGGAAGGAAGGAAGGAAGGAAGGAA